CATCATCAAATCAGGCTCAATCGAGACGAAGAGTAAGATTTAAACTATCAAGTATTTGAAATCAATCGGAAATTTATCTACATGCATTTGAAAGTTCTAATAGATATGCAGTTCATCCATCAGTTCCATTAGATATTGCTTCTATGGCTCACAAGAAAAAATTTAGGCTTGCTGACCCGAATGACACCATTCAAGAGATGCCTATAGAAGTTTTGATTGGTGCAGATTTTTATTGGACGGTAGTGAATTCTGAGATTCCTTTCAGACTTTCGGAAACAATTGTGCTCATTCCATCAATCTTTGGCTGGATTTTGTCTGGATCCAGATNCTTCTTTATCGTCAGTTCATAATATCAGCATCACATCACCATATATTTTGGATGATCAAGTTAGGAAATTCTGGGACTTAGATACTTTAGGTATTAAAGCCATGCAAGACAAAGAAATGTCCATTCGCAATTCTGAAATATTAGAAGACTTTCTCAGTTCTTATGAAGTCCTAGAAAATCGTCGTGTTGTTTGATTACCTTGGAAGAAAGACGTTACTCTTTCTTCAAATAACTATCACGTTGCATCAAAACGCTTCAATACATTGTGCAAGAAGCTCCAAACGGATCCTAGCTTAAAGGAAATGTATGTTACACTCATGGAAGATTACATAGACAAAAGGCAAGGTGAAATAGCGCCGGAAAATCATGATAAGGAGGAAAAAAGCTATTACATACCTCATCATGTAGTCATTAAAGAGAAAAGCGCAGAAATTAAAGGACGAATAGTGTTCGACGCCTCTTCTCACACACCAGGCCATCCATCATTAAACGATGTTCTAGAACAAGGTCCCAACTTACTTCCAGAAATTTTAGCCACCTTATTACGATTTCGTCTTCACAAACAAGCAATTAGTGATGGAAGTCAGGCTTTTTTACAATTAACCTTGTGGGAAAAAGACAGATGTGCTACTAAGTTTCTATGGTTCAAAACCAGAAAAAATGGTGATGGACATTTGCAGCTGGAGAATGAAATTGTGGTCTACCAATTTACACGTTTACCCTTTGGATTAACCAGCAGCCCATTCCTTCTTTCAGCTACACTTGACGAATTATCCTGCATGTACTCAAACATTTATCCCACAGCAGCTAAACATATAAAAGGCAATATTTTCATGGATGATTTC